AGCGCACCGCCATCCGTGGTCTTCTGAGCCAGCCTGCACGGAGGGGACTCTCTATGCAGCGGTCATGAGGGTGGAATTTTGCTAGGCAACCAGTCAAGCTCCCTTGTTCTTTCTTATGGCCGTGCTTCGTCTTGTGAAGCAAGGCCATAGGAAAATTTGTCTGGCGAGGCACAAAAAAATCGCAAAATGCTTTCATTTTGCGAGTTTTTCATTGCGTGAGGCATTCTTCTTGCAAGGTACCACTGTACGTGTATGCATTTTCTCCCAATGCCTTTTTCTATGCATGTTTCCCCAAAATAATTATTTTCAAGTCTTTTCCTTAAGACATTGATTTCCTTCACCTACTAATATATCAATTTTCATGCATACTTTTTCTGTGATACGAAATATATAAAAGGTTAAAGTAACTGCAATAATATTGTACATTTCAGAACCATAATTAAAGATCTGCTAGCTTACCTGATCTGCCACTGCATAGATTTCTTCTTTTTTGCGTAGGTCACACTTGTAGGTATGAACAGCTTGTGCTCCATTTGCCCGGACGAGTTCAGTTGTTTTTTCATTTCCTTCTTCGTCAATGTCCCAGAGAACGAGAACAGCACCAAGTCGGGCAAAATTCAATGCAATCTGTCTTCCGATCCCATTTGCTGACCCAGTGACAAGCACTATTTGCCCAGCCACCTTTTTTTAATCCAATCTGTCTACAGATTCCATTTGCCGAGCCAGTGACAAGCACTATTTGCCCAGCCACCTTTTTTTTGGGTACCGTACCGATGAACTTCAGGACAAAAGCCTCCAAGCAGTAATATGGAAATAAAAGTAAAAATGTCAGAGTATCCAGGATGCTTCTCATAAGAGACATGATTCTGCTTAAAGTAAAAACAATAAAATAACAAAATCTTATGGTGATATTACTATAATCTCTGATTATTATTTCCAGAAAAACTACATAATTATTTTTTGAAATATTTCAGTTAACACTTTTCAGCATCACACTGCGAGTAATCGAGTAATTCTGCCCAACCTTTCATACTCCTTATTATGAATTCATAGAGGATAAAGCACACTGCACATTAGAGAGGGTATATATACCTGCCCTGCTTCTTCTTCCTGTATGTAAAAATAGAAAAAAATAACAAAGGAGTGGACAAAGACTATAATTATAAAAAATTAAGAATGCCTTCTAGTCTTAAATGCAGTAGGAAATGTTTATGTTAGTCATACTGTGTATTATGACCTTATAGATTTGCAATGAGTAAGACAGTTCATCTTCTACATTCCTACATCCTTGCATTTAGTGGCTTTAGAATGAACCAGCTAACTGGCTGTTGGAAGAGAACACCCAAACAATTTTAGATTGAAGAGCTCACTTGCGGCCATTTGCTCATAGGATCTAGTGAGGATTCCTTCCTTCCTTCCTTCCTTCCTTCCTTCCTTCCTTCATTGTCAATAAATCTACAATAGACACACATATCACATTTTATGCGAAGGATGATAAATACTGTAAATACATTTAAATACTGTTCAACCTAGGGGCCCTATTGCCATGGCAACTAATGGGAGG